ACCCCCCCCACCCCCCATGAAATTTTCCATGAAGTTATAATGATCTGTAGTGGATTGCTTCTGAGGAACTTCCTCAATACTGCGTTTGGCAAATGTCAGTATGAAAAGAAACACTGCACTGCACCTTTAAACCTGCGCACAGAACCTTCTGGCATGTGCACACTGGTCTGATGTTATGATAAAGACTTCAACACACACAAGCTGACTCCAGGAGGAGTGACTGTAAACAAGGATATGGGTGTTATCATTTGATCTATAAGTAGCCAAGAGCCATCTTTATGAATCTAATGTTCATAATGATTTCTGCTGTTAGAGGACGATCCATCAGAGCATTTTCATCCCTATTGAGCAGAACAAACCAAACCACATATTTGCACCCCAAATCCCACCATGCAACCCCCAGCCTCCCGAACTTAATTGACCACATTCATTTATTAAATCAACACACTTAGTGTTAGACTCACTTAATAGATTTGTAATGAGCTGCAATGGATGCTAAATTGGCACACTTGGATTGGAAATTTCCATTCTGTCGGTCCATTCTAAAACAAGTAAGAACCGGTCAGGATGCTGTTCATATCATGTTCAAGTTTGAACATGCCAACTGAACCCTGCTGTAAACATTAATTTCTCCTTGTTGGTTCCCTCTGCACAGCTTGGTTTCTTAAATCACATGCTGCAATCCAAGATGACAAAGCAGCTCAAACAATGTTCCACTACCGCCACTATTTTTTTTATATTTCTTAAGGCGATAATTCAAATCAATTGAAAACTAATAGCCTGAACAGACATTTGCCAAGGATACCTCATTAAACCCACTAGTGCAACACAAAGGTTACACAATCATTTTCCATATTTGTGAGGGAATTAAAAACAAATGACAACATTTCAAATCTACACCAGATGCCCATAGGCATCCCCTAAATATTTACTACAGTTCTTGCATGGTAACCAGTTTTCTGTATATGGGATCATTGTAGTAACATCTATATCACAAACTATGGTACATGTTATGAAAACATAGCTAGGAAACAACTGCCATAAAAATAAGCAGATTATGCATATTACATTTAACACCATAATTTCTGCATGTAATCCCCGAAAAGGAAGGACACTTTAGCATACTTTTAAAAGAGTACTTACTAAGTGCAAACTGAATGTTGTTTTTGTTTTGTTTTTAAGGAAACTTATTCGGACGTTATCTGCAATTAAATTAAAATGTATTCTTGTTTAAGTCTATATTAAATGCAATTAGCTAAACTTTAGCATGCTTTTTTGAAAATCAGGACTTTATATGTAGCTTCATAATTCTGTTGTGTTTGAAGTATGGTAAAGTGTACTGTCAAATGTACTGACAAGCATTTATGATAAACTAAAATATACTTTAATGTTATTTCTCTTGAAACTTGTAAGTGATGTATTAAAATATATTTGTAATTACTCATTTTTAATGATGAAGCTGCAATTTAGTACTATTACTAGTAATACTGAATAATACACTACAGTAAAAATGAATGTGTTCTGTATAAAGGCAGAGACAGAGGAGAAAAGACTCTACCTTACTGTCCTTCATCTTTTCCATCCTGCTCTCTGTTGAGAAAGTCAGTTATTGCGATTGAGACAGAGGTCTTCTGTTCTTCCTCTTTTTGCAGTGAATCCAAACTTGTGTTTTCAGGGTAAACACAAATTTGTATTTGGAAAGGCTTCTAGGGGGAGGAAAAAGAAAATGAATAGTTGTTGTCAGTAATGCTAAGGAATGAGACAGTCCTTTTATGTCTTCATCGAGAACAACTACAAAAAAACAGCTTCCTGCGACGGATGCCTGTTGAGTTGAGATGACAGTTGCACATCAGTATTGTGCAAAGCAATTTGCAAAGTAAATGTGGAAGTCAAATACAAGAGGCATCTCTGTCAGCACAAGATCCACCCTATATATTGCTCAAACATGGTGTTGTGTGGGACAACTCAGTCTTAGTGGCGTTACAACAAATCCTCAATCTTGCATCAATCTTGCTAAAGTTAAACAACTGAAAATTCAAACAGTCTACCACCAGTGAATAAAATAAAACTTGCTTCAGTTAACAGCTTCATGCAGTTCCTTGACTCGAGACATTCGTACTTTCTGTACGTTCTAATATACTGTAAGTTAGTAATAAAATTCAAAGTGGTCAAAGAAGTACAATGCACTTCGCTGCAGGCTTATTTTAAAGATTTAAGGCAACATTTTTTACATTTTAAATAGCCTACTAACAGTTAGTAATGAAGCAGCATCATCGTGAGTAATTAAAATATAATTCCAAGGCTAATTATTGTCCGTTATATTTCTATGTAATAATAATTATTAAAGAATTATATTTACGTTTATGTTTGCAGAGCTCGTGTCGACCAGGTAGTTGGTGCTGTGTGATGAAACACTCTCGCGCTCGTGGGTTTTATGGGGAGTGAGACACGAGCAGCAGCACGTTCGTTGCACTTTTTGTCGTCACATCGGTGCTCCCCCTGTTTCTGTAACATCTGAGTCACAGGATTAAACCAGAACTGCGTCTTAAGTCACTCGCGTAACATCCTTTAGTTGGAAATGACGGCCGCGTCTCAAAAACTATTGGGCATCCAACTAGTCAGCATCTTGAGCATCACTCGGAACGCCCCAGTGATGCCTGAAACGCTGTCTAGATAGGCAGCTCATGAGGTTTTGAGGCAAAGCCTGTTTTAGTGTCCTTATTTGGTTACTCACCACATAGAATGGACGTGAATCGCGCCTCTGTTCCTGTGGCGCGCAGCATCCCACCGGATTCTTGCCAAAAGTTGCTGTCTTACACAATAAACCCGTTATTGTTGTCATGGGAGTGCTTCTGTGAGAGAATGGAATCTTTTTGTTGTTTGTAAACAAGTAGTCCTCTCTTCCGAGACCGGACAATTTGCGGGGTTTGCTGGCACTTCACACAAGTGTGTGATCTAGTGATAACAAATGTTTCGCTGCCTACTCTCGTTAGCTCTCCTTTGTTAATTGAAAGTGGCTAAAAGGCATTAAAAATTAATTTATATCATATTGGATGCACTTATCAATCATAAGGTAAAGTTAGAAAGTAATGATCGATTTGCGTTTGGCTTCTGAAAGTGTCGATACTGGCCTGAAAGTGATTACACTGACTACAAAGTAATAAAATATGTAATAATATAATAATACACAAGCACACGGATCACTGGACTAGTTGTGTGTTTTTCAGACAGACGAACAGGAACTTGCTAAAGGAAACACATTTTGAGAACTGAGATCAGCGATTGATAGCACCCTGCCACTGTTTTTTCTTCTTCTTCTTTTTGTATAAAATAACTGAACCTTTTAAGACAAATTCTCTAGGAGCCTGACATTTTAATCACTTGTTTAAAAACAGACACCTGTGTTGCAAAGGGTATCCATTTCCCATTATCCTACAGGATCACAGACTGTCAAGCTTCTACACGCTTCAGTTATGTACTAAATTGGTCACTAAGAAAAGTTTAACACGGTAAGACTTGTACAAATGAAAATATGTTTAAAATATGCATATTTTAAATGTGCATTTAAGTTAGTAACAGACCATTATAATGATGTATGTAATAAAGCATATCTAAAGTGAAGCAGTTTGATACATTTGAGCTTGTTTAAATGAAAACCCAGTATCAAACAAAAAGGGCAGAAAAGTTACCCATCATACACATGCACACACACATATGATGCTCTCTTCCAGCCTATGACTAGATTTACAGTATGCTCTCACTTCAAGTAACTTTTGGAATTGTTAAACACAAATTTGACATCATGCCACATCCTACAAAAATGTAATTCTATGAATTAGAACTTGCTTCTGGAAAAAAAATGTTGAAAGATGATATTCTGGACAGATATCTGCTGCTTTTCCCCATGTTTTTGTTTGGCATTGCAGTGATAAATGTTAAGCCTGGTAACATGTTAGTGTGTGCAAGACAACTATACCTAAAGGTATAATTCACCCAACAATGAAAATGCTGTCATCATTTACTCAGCCTCAAGTAATTCCAAACCTGTATTAATTTCTTTCTTCTGTTGAGCACAAAAGTAGATATTTGGTAAACAAACAGTTGCAGGTGGCCATTAACTTTCGTAGTATTTTCTCTCTCTCCATACTTTCAAAGCAATTGTTTGGTTACCTACATTCTTCAAAATACTGTCTTTTGCGTTCAACAGAACAAAGAAATCCATACAGGTTTGGAACAGCTTTGGCGAGTAAATGAAGATAAATAAAAGTCATTTTTGGGTGGACTATCCCTTTAACTGTTGACTTCTTGATCGCTACACTTCCACTTGGCACTGCTGAGCATCCTCTGAATAACCTAATCTAACCAGCTAACCTCTGACCTTTTGCCCACATGCATTGCATCATATATTAGAAATATACAGAAAGAGAGAAATTTCCAGGGACTGCAATTAGTATAGTTACTGCAATTGCCACATTTGAACTGTTTTAGTAATGGTTGCCATTACAATGAGGGACTAATTTATGCTACTTTATCGCCATCTGCTGTTTTATATGCACAATGGTCAATAAAAGGATAACTTCCAAGAAACAGGATTAAACAAGAGCTGTAAAATAAAATATTGCTGGCTAACGATTTACAGAGCCTCCTAATTCCTTAATCACTGATTTTATGTAAACTCATCCTGTCTGTTCAAACTGAATCAAACTCTGTGTCATTTCTGTGTATGGCTAAATCCAGTATCTTTAGACTTGTGTTAATTAAATAGGGCATGTAGAATGAACAGTATTTACCTTAGTCTTTGAAACTGATTTTTTTTTAAACCTCAATAATATAGCAAATATTATTCAAATCAACACCTCAAAAAGCCACTAAATGACTCCATTTTCAACAGGTCAGACTTGGTTTAATGGTTAATGTCTGATTTAGAAAGACTCTGTACAAACTATAGTGTGTTTGCATATGAACTCATCACCATTAGTAAAACGAATACAAAACCATTATTAGTTGAAATTGTGCGTTTTTATTTTGTAAGTTGCAACTGTAGGATGTACTCTAGCAGGCAAACCAATAACTAAGACATCAAATTGGGATAACATATTATGAGGTACTCCACATAAGGTTGGGAGCTCATGAATTGAAAGTATCAGCGACCATTTAGATCTTTCCGGGGAAGCTTCCATCCTCAATCTGTCCGTCCCATTTCTCCACCTAAAGGAAGTTAAGAAGACAGACAAGAACACATTGAATATCAAACAACTTCCAGCAGACCTTCACATCTCATCAGCTTTCATAATGATTGGTTGTCTCTTGTTGAAGGGAAACAGCAATTATTATAGAAGTTTGACAGAAGATTCTCTAAAGTAACTCTAAAAGTTACATTTCAGGATTTAGCCATCTCAGAAAATACATTTTAGCTTCTTTTTTTGAACTAAGTTGCTTAGCCATAAGTTTTGAATAGAGATCATGACATCATGATGATCAGTAACGGAGAACCCTGCTGGCAAAACTGTCTGATACTAGATATAAAGAAGAGTCTGTGTGGTTTTTAACCAATTTATTTATTGGTTTGGTTGCAAATACTGAAAAGTTCAGTGATACTCAAGTTCAGAAAGGTGATACTTCTGATGAACCCTACTTTGGGAACATGTTGGGTGTGTGTCAATAATGAAGAATAGAGAACTTTGTGTTGGTATGACCTGACCATCCTCAAATCTTTCTCAACATTTTGGTGACTCATTAATTTCCAGCATTAATCCATTTTTGGCAGTGAATAATAGTGAAATACCAAAACTGCAACTGAATTAACCAAGGACAGGTTTCCAATAACACTGATATTAGCAAGCATGGCCAACAACTTACAAGAGTCTGGACATTCTTAGGTCAATCCCATCAGCCCCACATACACTGTAATAACTTGTGTAAAGTCTTTAAATACGTCATAGCCACACTTGACAGTTTGCAACATGAAAGCAAAAACATTTAATTCTATTGTGGAAGTTACAGAACATACATCCACTCGAATCGGCCTATGTTTATCGTGTTTATATTGCTTGTCTTGTTAATTGTTGTTGAGAAAAAAAATTATATCCACATAATGAATGTGAAAGTTGGCTCCTCAGTCTGATAACAATAAGAATGTGCGCCAACACAGACGTTCCAGAGACACAAAGATAACAGTGTGCAAAGCAAAGTTTCTTACAGCGCTTTGTGTTTTCAGTTCTTAAACCACTCTCCCTCGAGGAAACTTAAAGGAAGCATAGCCTATGTCTCAAGATCATTTGGCTATCAGATAAGCTCTCTTCTCTGCTCACTCGGGGTACAGCTGCGCTTAGCTTCAGTCGTGAATGCAGTGATGGACAGCTGTCTTTCCTCAGTCGAGTGGTGTTTGGATTTCTTGTGATTTCTCATTGTGTTAGTGATATTATGAGAACTCCGGTTCACTGATTCATTTGATCAAAAGTAATTCCATTTTGTAAGATCATTTTGATCAAAGTAATTCCAAACTTCGTGAGGCAGACAACATTTTGTGATCAAATACAATCAACTTAACATGCTCCACAGCGCCACCCAGTGCATTTAGTTCTAACTGACATTTAGTTTGCATGCTTAGAATTTATGGCCAGCAAAGCAACATGTAGTAAAATTCAAATAGTGTTTTTATTTTTAGAATAATAATCACCGGTTGACTATTCAACAATTTGTGCACACCCATATTTTGTATATCTGAGATTTATTCCAAAAAAGCATCTAAGGCTACATTCACAGAATTTAGGTTTGCACTAATTTCCTTTTTTTTTTTTTGGCTGTTTACATTATTTTTTTAATATGGCAGGGTTTCCCATATATTGATTTATTTGTGGCGGCCTGCCACAATATCAATACTGACCACCACAAATAGATTTTCCAAAAGGTTTTGACTTCGTTGAATAAACATGAGCACTGCACGTTTCAAAATCAAAACGCTGCACGTGTGTTTTTATACAAATGTTTCGTTTTTGAGGGGAACCGATTGTCTTCAGAAAAGTTTTGATGTAATTTTCATTTAATCTTTCCTATAATGCTGAAAAAGTAGCATTCATGAGCGCAGCGCTGTTTTGATTACAGCCGTTACCGGGGAACCGCTATTTCTGCAGCTCCTAAAGCGCCTCCTGCTGGCAGAGAATTAATCTGCTGTTTTATATTTACATTATATACAGAAATATTTCCCCCAGGGGAAGTGCCGCCACTCATAAGAGTGTAAGTCTGTGGGAAACACTGTACGGTCAATACCAGATAAAAGTGTGAATGTGTCACACTCCTGAAATGACCCACATGTGCAAAAAACACCACCGATTGCACACAGCTCCCGGTCATACAAAAGTAAACATGGAGGCCACTGAAATCAGCACTTTACGTATTTGAAAGGTGTATGTGCTGCAGAAACCAGCAAAGATGAGAAGAAAGAAAAAGTTGTTCTCGTATAGTTTTCCTTCAAGTTTTGCTTTTATAAAGCAAGTTCTAACCTCACTGTCCTTCCACGGACTACCGTCACAGGCTTTCATATTGACCGAGTGACCAAATAACTACAGGTCTGTAAAAGTCACTCACAGCAGCACAGAATTGTGACAAATCGATATAGTGTGATGTTGCACTGCAAAACATCAGACCTGTATCTGATTTAGGACCACATAATAAAAGTGGCCCAAATCAGAATTTAAAAGATCAGATTTCATGTGGTTTGTGCGATTCACACTGTTATGGAATTTTTTTTGTTTTTTTTTACAGATTTGGACCACCGTGACCTCTAGTCATACGAGAAGAAAGGAGGAATGGAGATAATGTGTTTGTTTTTTTTAATAAGCTTGTCCATTTTCACAGAATTTCAAATGCATATATCTGCTAAAAGTTTTGGTCAGCATTTTGTACTCAAGAATATTTATGGCCTCATAGGTAAAAACATACAGACTGAAAGCCACACTTATTACTTTTTTCTTGATGTATATAAAACTTAGCTTTATAAAACTGAACTTGATTGGACTGTGAAAAGTCTGAGTTGAAAAGGAGAAAGGATCAGACAAGACAGCTGGACAGCAGTCTTTGCATTTATGATGTGATGAAAAGCCATTTGAGAAGTGCAAGTTATTTTAATGAAGCATGTGCTGATGAAATAACACAAGGAATGTCTATTAGGTAACTATGGTAAATCTTGATTTTCATGTTTACTCAAAGGTTCTATTACTTAGGTTTTCAGAGGTGTTTCTGGTAGAACAGACTCACCCAGCTCATTGGACACAGGCTCTTGTAGACTCTCTGATACCATTCGCAGGGAGAACTGTCCTGCCCTTTGCTTGACAAAGCCTTATTACACCTGTGGAAGTCTGAGAGGAAAAAAAACTGCAATCAGCCAGGAATAGTGTATAGTCCACAACCCCGGACTTCTGTGTGTTATTCAATTCATAATGCATTTTGATCAAGTCAAGTAACGACTGATAAGGTCAAATAATCAATAGATCAATTATAGCTCATAACTTCAGGGATTTGTTGCACCGGACTAACACAAGCAAAGACACCGAACTAGAGATTTACTACAAACAACCCTGCTTTACCACCCATGTGACCTTCAAGAAAACAAGTCCTGGTTGCTCTAAAATATCTATCCGTGAGATTAGTATACCATTAATAACCATGGTAGACATGTACCTGGAGAAAGTCTCATATTCATTATAATTTTGTACAAGCCTGTATGTGAAACACACTTGTCATTTCATAAATAATACAAGGAACTTGAACCACAATATGTTTTTATTAATGCAATAATTTTGATTACAAATATGGGCCAAATAATCATTTCTTCTGTACTTACCGAGGTAATTCTGGAAACAGTTTCTAGTCTGGTTAGTGTTTGGAAAACGGGAATCGAATGGAGCCGTTCTGTAATTCTTGATCTTGTCCTCAATAACATCAGCCATCTTCAGTCAAAGATAATGGGTCTGTGTGACATACAGTAAACATTCACAGATAAACAACATTATCAAAATACTTAAAGCACATAATTGGACTTAAGCTGCTCAAATGTCGTAGTTTAACAGTGTAATATATCAGACGACTGCGACTGACATTCAGTCTGAACAGACGCCAGTCACAGTCTCGTTATACGACGCCTATAGTGATGTTAAACTTGCTTGATATATTTTAAACGAGTTCTTTAAACTTTCAACGAGGTAAATATAAATTGAAGTGAACTTGTAAACGCGTAAAATAAGTTTATTATACGTTCAAAACAGCAGACATATTCGCGTAAGTAACATAACCTTGATATAACCGGTTTAAGTAGCCTGTTCGCTAGCTCGCTAACTAACTCAAATGAGCCGTTCCCATAAAACGCCCGTTGCTATTTCGTGAATTCTGCTAGAGTAAAGCTAAAGCATTTCAATAAACCTTGCACGAGATTAAGCAATCTCACAACAATTTAAATTAAACAAATGTAAATATTGAGGCCTACCTCTTGCTGTGCCCTTAGCGTAACGTCCTCTCGAAAGACTTTATGAGCGCACTGAATTATGGGAAGTCAAACTGTGTAGGAGGGGCATGAGGCGGAGTAAAGGCGGGGCTTACGAGACTAAAATAGTACGAGTATATTTATTATTTACACACTTCATGAATAGCATTCATGTACGTTCCTCCAGTATTTAGTCTAATCTTCAGATGTAATATGATGGAAATAAAATTATAATAAAATATTCATTTAAAACAATAATGTAAAATAATAAATCATATAATAAAAAGCAATGATAAAATAAAAAATGTGCCAGTAATATTAATAAAACAATAATTGCAATATACAATCTAAAATAAAATACAATAAAAAGAATTGCTCAGAAAGAAATTCATGAACAAATGAAAATGGAACGGAATATTAAAATGTTTTATTTTTTTTTAAACAACAACTAATATTGACATTTACTAATAAAAAGCAGGCTAAACACTAAGAAGCACAATATAGCACGATAAGAAATAGTGTCATCGTAAATCATAAAGTGGAACAAGCCTGCAGAATAATACCATGGTATATTCAGAACCCATCTCTGTGAAGAATATGTTTCTTTTATTACTGAATCCACTGTCTAAAGCAGAGTATTAATTTATTGCTGTATATTTTTTATTTATTGTGTGCTTTATTTAATTTCTTTGTGTTTTAGTGTTTATTTATTTTTAATGTGTGCAATGAAGCAGCATAATTGCTCAATTCTTTTGACATATTCTTATATTTTTATTGCAGTTTTAGCCACAGCAAATAAATAAATAAACTAATAAATAAATAAATAAATTATTTTTTAATTAATTTTTTTTTAAATAAATCAATATAGAGCACTTTTGGAAATCTGTGGCTCAGCACCTTGGCCAGGGGTGTCAAACTCAACTCCTGGAGCAACCCTGCTCCAACACACATACCATATAGTTCTCAAATAAGTCTGAAGGACTCGATTAGTTGGATCAGGTGTGTTAAATTAGGGTTGAATCTAAACCCTGCAGGGCTCCAGGAATTGAGTTTGACACCCCTGACCTAGACTATAGGAAGCAATAAGCCTAATTCAAGATAGTGTAGTTACTGTCTTCTGCCTTTGTAGGGCACTGCTGGCTACCAAACCACCTTCTCATTCCTCCTCTAGCGTTGAGGTGTGAGAGATGTACAGTAAGAACTTTTTACCAAAGAAAACGTGCACTACAGTATGCACACCTCATTCCAAACACATTCCCTCTGACCAGGAGCCAGAAAGAGCTTTCACTTCCACGATAAAAACAAACATGGAGGGACAAGTCTGAATGACATACAGGAGCCTTCACAGCCTGCTGTCAATGCTTCCTGTCTCAGAGCTTTTGGCTTTGCTTTTTGGTCTGACATGGTGCATGTGAGTGTGAGTGTGTGTGTGTGTGTGTGTGTGTGTGTGTATTTATATTTAGGACTGCATGATGGCTTTACACTGCAAAATAGCAAAATAGTTGTTATCCAGTAAAAATATCTGTTATAGCGAAATGTTATAACTTAAGAGGCAAAATTACAATAATCTAATTATCTTAGTAATAGTTATTTAGTAGTTCTATTTTTTTCTTGTTTTATGCATACATCTCACAATTTTAGATTTATGTTTTAAACAAGAAAAAAATCTTTAGTACTGATATTTCTTATACAAATAGGATATATAGATATACACACATTCACATGCATATATATATATATGGTTCTTTCCTGACACATCATTCTGTTGTTGACAAGGTCAAGGGTTACAGGTGCCTCTCTGTCTTTGACATCCTGTTCCAGGTTTCCTGTTCCCCCCCCCTTTTTTTTTTTTTACAACACAAACTAAGGAGTTTTGGATAAAACTTGCTGAGGCAAGTGTTAGTCTTGTGCTTATCCCTTGTATTTCTTATGGGTAATAAACATACAGTATACTGTTCATTCATTCATATATATTTCCTGAGGATTGTTTCTATACACATTAGTCAGGGTAGCACCATATTTAATCCTGTAAAATTCAATATGGCGTCTCTTCTGACTAGGGCTCTCCAACTGTCAGACAATTTCTGGCTTTGTTCTGATTTTGAATGAACATAATGGACATCCTGACTATAGTGCTTATAACATTTTTTTCGTCTTGCTGTACAGCAGTGTCATTGACTTTATGCGTATGCGTATTACGCTTTATGCATATACTTCATATTCTCTCTCTCTCTTTTTCAGGATATAGGTGTTGTCCATTGGGGAGGAAGGAAATTCTGTCATTTAGAACAATGGGCCTGCTTCTCTATCTATAGAAGCAGAAAAGGGGAGAGAGAAACAAGGACGAAATAGAAAGCAAGAATAAGGACTAGAGGACCCTTCTTGTACATCGAAATTGAAAAAGACATGCTAAAAACGGGGTGAACGGACAAATTCTGGTAAAGCAAAGCAAGGCCTCATGCACAAAATGGACTATTTAAACCTAATTATTCTGGAATAAGGAGACACAGAACCGACCTCCACTGGTATTTATTTGACATTATTATAATACACTTCACAAACAACAACAGCCATTCTGAAGATTTATCCTGATATAAAGAGGAAGCCCGTCACAGTGGGTAAGTCACATTCAGATCATCTGGTTGCAAGAAAAGCAATTTTACCAATGCAAAATGACTGTTTTGGAGCTGCAGTCAGCATATACTGAATACCTTTCCCAACCAAAAGTTGTAAATTTCTTGGTTGTTCTACATCCACCATTTACTCTGTAGAATGTGATGAAATCAATTATGGTCAAAGAGTCAACATATTAAAAGTCAACTTCACTTTTGAGGAACGATAGGGGGCATAGGACACTTAGGGGGTCTGTTCAGGGGTTTTCCCGGCTGTCTGTGAGGATACATGGAGGTGAAGTCCATAATTAGGCTGGAGAGCAAAAAAATGTATGTTATTATGTATAGCCGACGTTCAGTGCTTTTAATCAAAGTACGACAAGGATGATATTCATAGAATGTGGTTTGGCTTCATGGCTTATCCTCAGCAGTGATAGTTTCATGTTGGTTGATATCCTCGTCATGGCCTCTTGGCGAAGCCACTTGACTCTTACTTGACTTCCACGAGTATGCTTAGGTCAGGAGCAACAGTGCCAAACCTCTGGTTTTCATTATGAATGTGAAATAAATCTTTTTCTCAGAGCCATAACTATTCACTGCCTGCCCTGTCAACTTTGTGGCGTTCCCCGCTAACTGCGTTAATGCTCTGTTACTCATAGACTCGTAGATGATGAAGAATGTATGACATTGCACGTCCTGATTATTCAACGGGACGTTAGCTTTTCCTGCCATTTGTCTACTGAACGTCATTCCCTGCCAAAATCAAAATCTGATGTTGGAGAAAAATGACACAAACTTAGAAGATGAAATGTTTTAAAAATTGAAAGACTCGCACAACGGCTAATATTGATATCTTATGTCAATGGTCTTCTGGTGTTTCTCTGCATCTGGTTTTCTCTGACTGTTAAGACATTTCCCTTTCTTGCTTTTTCCTACTTCCCCCCGGTCCTTCCTTTCTCAATTTATTTTTGTCATTTTATCTTTCCATTCTCCACACTCCCGTCCAGTCCTCAACTCCCTCTCTCTTACTCCCTCAGATGGAGGAGTCTGGCAGTCCCCGATTTAGGAAGCTTCATTTCCCAGTGGGGTTGTGGATAAATTCTCCACGGAAACACTTTGCCAAGCTGGGAGCTCGCTGGCCCAGTGCAGCATCAGTCAAGTCAGTGTTCTGAACTTTCTCTTACTCTCTGGATCAATGACAAATAAAAGTGTCCAAGATAAAGAAAAGTACAAAACATGTGCCAGGTTCTTAGAACTGTATACATGTTGGTTTGAGATGGAAAGACTATTATACAATTGTCAAAAAACTTTTCACTTAATGAATCTATAACTGTCATATTTTCCATTCTCCTTTGAATACATGTGTGTAAACACCCTTACCATTACTTTTAAAAAAAGGTTTTGAAAAAAAAATTAGCAAGGCAAAAAGTATATTGTCACATCACGCTGTTGAGGGAACACGCTGGAGTCACGAGGAAACGTTTAACAGTCTTTAATCACGAAACACAGGAGACAAGAGTAGGGGTACAACCATCCTGGCCAAATTTGCCCATTGGCCTCTGACAATCATGGCCTCCTAATCATCCCCATACACTGATTGGCTTCATCACTCTGTCTCCTCTCCACCAATAAGCTGGTGTGTGGTGGGCATTCTGGCGCACTATGGCTGCCGTCGCATCATCCAGGTGGATGCTGCACACTGGTGGTGGTTGAGGAGATTCCCCCGTTCCCCCGCTTTGAGTACCCAGAAAAGTGCTATATAAATGTAACTAATTATTAATTATTATTATTATTATTATTATTATTATAATCCACAATAGGAACTTGAGCCAACACACGTAGAGAACTAGTAGACCTGACAAACACAAACTGAACAGACTAGGACTTTTAAACACTGGATAACGAGGGACAAAATAGACACAGCTGGAAACAAATTAACACAATTAACACGAGGAAAAACTGGGTCACGTGGAGCAAAACGCACACATATAGTCCAGAACCCTGACATATTGCCCCCCTCCCAGAAGATGCGTCCTCGCACCGTAGAACAACAGAGGGGGGGAAATGGGTGGGAACTAAGGAGGAGGCTCAGGAGGAGGACGGATGTCCGGGAGGGGGCCGGCAGACAGAGTCCAGGGAGGAGACGATGGAGGGAGGAGCCAGGGAGGAGACAGGAGGGGCTTGGAG